GAATCTGTTAAAAAAAACCATTCACCATGATGAAATGTGACTTATTCCCAGGATACAAGGGTGGTTCAATATTGAAGTATCAATCAACGTGATACCTCACATCAATAACAGAAATAATAAGAACTATATGATCATTTCAATAGATGCAGAAAAAGCATTTGACAAAGTACAATATTCATTCATGATCAAAGCCCTCAACAAAGTAGGTTTAGAGAGAACATACCTCAACATAATAAAGGCCATGTATGAAAAACTCACAGTGAACATCATACTCAATGGGGCAAACCTGAGAGCTTTCCCCTAAAGGTCAGGAGCAAGACACAGATGTCTACTCTCACCACTTTTATTCAACATAGTACTGGAAATCCAGGCCACACTAATGAGACAACAACAAAATAAATAAATGAAAAGGATCCAAATCTGGAAGGAAGAAGTAAAACTTTCACTATTTGTAGATGACATGGTACTACATACAGAAACTGGAAAGACTCCATCAAAAAAACTACTAGAACTGATAGATCAATTCAGTAAAGTCACAGGATACAAAATCAATGTACAGAACTCTGTTGCATTTCTATACACTAATATCAAAACAGCAGAAAGAGAAATCAAGGAATTGATCCTGTTTACAGTTGTACCAAAAATAAGATACCCAGGGATAAACCTAACCAAAGAGGTGAAAGACCTGTATTCTGAAAACTATAAAACATGGATGAAAGAAATTGAAGATGACACAAAGAAATGGAAAGACATTCCATGCTCACGGATTGGGAGAATAAATATTTTTCAAATGTCTATACTATCCAAAGGAATCTACACATTTAATGCAATCCCTATCAAAATTCCAACATTTTCCACAGAACTAGAACAAAATATCCTAAAATTTATATGGAACCACAAAAGACTCCAAATAGCCAAAGCAATTTTGAAAAAGAAGAACAAAACTGGAGGTATCACAATTCGAGACTTCAAATTATATTACAAAGCTGTAGAAATCAAAACAGTATGGTACTAGCACAAAAATAGACATATAGATCAATGTAACACAACAGAAAACCCAGAAATAAACCCATGATTATATGGTCAATTAATCTTTGACAAGGCAGGCAAGAATATGCAGTGGGAAAAAGTCTCTTCAACAAATGGTTCTGGGAAAACTGGACAACTACATGCAAAAGAATGAAACTGGACCACAGTTCATACACAAAATAAAGTAAAAAATGGATTAAGGGCCTAAAATGTGAGACCTGAAACCATAAAAATCCCAGAAGAGAGCACAGGCAGTAATGTCTCTGACATCAGCCATAGCAACATTTTTCTAGGTATGTCTCCTGAGGCAAGGGAAACAGAAGCAAAAATAAACTATTGGAACTATATCAAAATAAAAAGCATCTGCACAGCAAAGGGAATGATCAATAAAACTAAAAAGCAAACTACTGAATGAGAGAAGATATTTGCAAATTACATATCTGATAAAGGGTTAGTTTCCAAAATATATAAGGAACCTATACAACTCAAAACAAAACAAAAAACCCAAATTATCCAATTTAAAAATGGGCCAAAGACATGAACAGACATTTCTCCAAAGAAGACATACAGATGGCCAACAGACGCATGAAAAGATGCTCAGCATTACTAATCATCAGGAAAGTGAAAATCAACACCACAATGATATATCAGTTCACGCCTTTCAGAATGGCTAAAATCACTAAAGAAACAAGAAAGAGACAAAAATCACTAAAGAGACAAGAAACAACAAGTGTTGGCGAGTATGTGGAGAAAAAAGAACCCTCTTTCACTGTTGGTAGCAATGCAAAACTGGTGCTGCCATTGTGGAAAACAATATGGAGATGCCTCAAAATGTTAAGGAACCTACCCCTTAGTTCCCAGCAACTGCACTACTGGGTATGTACCCGCAAAATACAAAAACACTAATTCAAAGGGATACATGCACCACTACGTTTATTGTAGCATTATTTGCAATAGCCAAATTACAGAAGCAGCCCAAGTGTCCATCGACAGATGAATGGGTAAGAAGAGGTATATATACACATACATATATACACACACATACACACATATACAATGCAGTATTATTCAGTCATAAAAATGAATGAAATCTTGACATTTACAAGGACATGGATGGAGCTAGAGAGTATAATGTTAAGTGAAGTAAGTCAGAGAAAGAGAAATACCATATGATTTTACTCATATGTGGAATTTAGAAACAAAGCAAACAAGCAAAGGGGAAAAAAGGAGAGAGAGAGAGAGGAACCAAGAAACAGACTCTTAAACTATAGAGAACAAACTGATGGTTACCAGAGGGGAGTTGGGTGGGGGGTGATGGGTGCAACAGGTGATAGGGTTTAAGGATGAGCACAGGTTGATATATGGAATTGTTGATTCACTATATTGTATACCTGAAACTAATATAACACTGTATGTTAACTAAATTGGAATTAAAAGTTTTAAAATCAGAACAAAAAATAATCAAACCGAATCAGGGCTTTTCTAGGGGGTTCTAGAAGTTTAAAAAATATTACACAGGTAATGAAATAGACCTTTTTATTCCAGAAATGGCAGATGGATAATCAATATGAAAATGAAAGGACGTATATTCAATAAGGCACTATAGGGGAACAAACAGAGGAGGAAGATATGGCTCCTATCTGCAAGGAATTTGCATTGTAATCAGATTGTGACTGTATTGTAACAATTCATATATATTTTTCACTTAGGATTTATGAAACAGAAAGTTGTCATTCTTTTCTAAAATGAATTCTCGTTCTTCACCAGTTCTTTTACACTAAGGGAAAAAAACAAAAACCCTGGGTTCAGATTTCTCTAGGGATGGGAGTACTGAGCTATATGAAAAAAGAAAACGAAAAAGAGGATAGTTTGAGTTTGCCTCTATCTTTCAGCCCAAGACAAAGACTTGTCAAGTTTTGTATTATTGGTAATTGGGGCCAGACGATTCTTTCTTGTGGGTGCCTGTCCTAGGAATTTTAGGATGTTCAGCTGCATGCCTGGCCTCTACCCACTAGATGTCAGTAGCACCTAACTCTAGTTGCGACAACCAAAAATATCTGCAGACAGTACCAAATGTCCCCTGGGAGCAGAATTGCTCCCTTCATTGAGAATCACTATTCTAGTAACTGCCTGAAGAGCTTTGTCTATACTGCTGGGGCTCTTTTTCCAAAAGTAACAAGGCTAAGATCTTGAATTTCTAGCTTTGGGGCAGCTAGCTCAGAAAGAGATGCCTTCTCTTTAAGAGTAAACAGTGGTAGGGGCGCCTGGGTGGCTCAGTCGGTTAGGCATCCGACTTCGACTTCGGCTCAGGTCATGATCTCACAGTCTGTGAGTTTGAGCCCCACATCGGGCTCTGTGCTGACAGCTCAGAGCCTGGAGCCTGTTTCGGATTCTGTGTCTCCCTCTCTCTCTGCCCCTCCCCTGTTCATGCTCTGTCTCTCTCTGTCTCAAAAATAAATAAACATTAAAAAGAAAGTTTTTAAAGAGTAAACAGTGGTAAGTTTCTGTTTGGCTTTGTTTTATTTTATGAAAAGTGGCGTGTCAAGGGACCCCATCATACACACAGGAGATCGACTAAGTCACAGCTACCTCATCACTTTCTCAAATCCTTAGACTCTTTCTTAGAGGTGGAGTGAGGTACAGAGCATTGTTGGTAATGATTTATCTCAACTCATATTTCTTCTGGTTGTCCTGCTGCTCTTGGTTCTTCTGTGTCTGTGGTGCTACTAAAGGGCAGAGAACTGGAGCACCCCGTATCATGCACATGGGTTCTATCACATCATGCATGGATGTCTCAGCAGCTGCTCTGTCTGTTACAGGAAGTCTGCTGAGATTTATCAGGAATTTTGCACAAAGACCTGTTGCTTGGCTCTTTGTAGAAAAATCATCGTCAGTGCTATATTGTGTCTGTGGGGAACAAACTGTGCATGGACACTTTAATATATAATGTCCATAGCTATGCATGTGACAGAACTCGAGGGACCTTAGCAGTACTAATATTCCGCCCGGGTTTTGTAGGATGGTTGTCTAATCCTCACAGTTTGCTTATATAGGAGGTGAACTCAGCATACACACTTATATAGGACCATATAATCCCACCAAAGGGATTCATCTCTCTGCTTCTCTTCCCTCTGACACACTTCTCTGCTGTGATTCAAGAAGTGTTCAAGTCTGTCCTTAAAGATGTAGGTGTCTCTGTGTCCCCTGTTTTTGTTTTTTCTTCTCCTTGGTATAATATGGCCCCCAAACCCTGAACATCTTACTCATATGTCTCAAATTTAGAAGAAAGTACTCTTCTTTTCCCCAGATTCTTTGGCATTTGTGTTAGTTTTTCTAAAACCCAAGACTGTCTCCCCCATCTCAGTTGGAAGACTGTAATACTGCATTGTGTAAATAATCCAGAGATCTTCAAAACTGCAAGTTAAGTTACAGGTGCATGCCACACAAGTGTTTATTTCAACCAGCCAAGCGATCAAAAACTTACAGTGCTTGGTTCAACATTTGCTTTCCAAAAATTCTTCCTCTTCTTCCCACATTTCCTTTGTTGGAAATAATTCATTATTGGAAATTTCATTGATTTGTATTTGTATGTAAACTTGGTTTGGTAAGTGGGGCTCAGAAAATTATCAATAAAGAAAAACAGCTCATTTGAAGGTACCCTCCTTCTACACAGTGCTAATCTGCACGCGTCTTACTGTTACCACAAGAGCGGGTAGCACTTGGTTCGGGTGAAATCAGAGGGTGGACTGAGCCGCTTGTGTCTGACAAAGCAGCAGACGTCTGTGCCCGTGCAAGGTGCTCTGAGCTGCCTTTGTCCTCTGCCTTAATCAGTTCGTTTAGCCCCCAGGTGGCTAATTCCTAAGATGTAGACTCCATGGGCCTTGACACACTCCCCACAACTAGAATTGCCTCGTGTGTGATCCCACATAGCAGACGTCTTGATGATAGCCCCGCTGTGCTTTTTCTCCTAGTGCACCCTCTCTGGGAGAGCGTGGACCTGGTCCCGGCGGGCGAGCGCCAGTCGCCCATCAACATCCGGTGGAGGGACAGTGTCTATGATCCTGGCTTAAAACCGCTCACCATCTCTTACGACCCGACCACCTGCCTCCACGTCTGGAATAACGGGTACTCCTTCCTCGTGGAATTTGAAGATTCTACAGATAAATCAGG